TTGTTATGTTGCAATACTATGTTTCAAATACTTGAAATAAACCATTCACCAGAGCCTCCCACAAGTTTTAAAAGTAACTTCATGATGTTTTTATATTGTAATGAAAATTATCATCAGACAAGCTCTCCATCTCAAGAAGTTTCCAGAAAATAAGACAAACTTCCTCTTTCCTGATTCGGTCATCTCTACCAACCTATGTTCATTATCTCTTTTAATACTTGCTTTAATATCTACCTATTCTGAACCTTTCTCTAACTTCATTACATTCTTTTTTCTAAGTTACCCCAAGCTTTCTATTCATTGCCATATTCGACTTTTACCACAATAAAGCATTTTGTCTCCTAAAAACATTCTACTCTGTAATTGAACTTATTTAATTAAATACCTTCAGTTTCCAACTAGACGGGAAGCTTACCGTGGATGATCATCATGCCTTTTATTTATAATGTATTCCCTGCTCTGCACTGATTACTCATTATAATATCTTTTGCAAAGTAAGTCTTTAATAAAGTTTTCAAGCTACCATGGAAAAAAATTTATAATTCCATAGATGATGCAGTAAATTACATAATTTATATGCTTGTTTGATCTAAATATTTAGGCTTGATATCTACAGGAACGACTTAAAACGGAGTCTCTCTGAATGCAGATAAAAACTAAATATTTGGTGCTTCTCAGAAACAAGTGGCGGAGTGACCTCAAGCCTTAGTGTTTGCTGCCAAAAGGGAAATGAAAAACACAACTGAAATGCAAGTTTACACAAACAGATTTCTCGTAGTAAAAATAGCCTTCTCTGCTCAGTTTCGATCGGCTCACCCCTCCTCCTAAGGCCCGGACAATACCAGCAGAAGATTCTTAAAGCTAGGAGAGACGTATCTTTCCAAGAGACTCTGCATTCCACGTTTTTTGGCAAGTTCTTTCAGCTTATTTCATTGGAAAAGACAGCGCTGTGTGGTTTTTCTGTACGTACCTACACTGGTCACCGTACTCCCCCAAGCTGCACTGAATCCCATCACTGTTTTTGCAGCGGTGTGATCGCAAGAGAAAGTGCTCCTTGCTAAGAACCAAACACATCCACACACACCAGAGTCTGGCTTCGGACTCCCTTCCAGGCTAACTACAGAAAAGGCCTGTCAGCCTCTCAACCAACAAGGTGAGGGAAAATGAAAACCAAGAAAAAGACAGGGACGATCTCGGGCCTTTGGGGGATCCCAAGCAACTCGAAACAAGTACTGAGAAACAGTTAACCGGGGAAAGGCAAAATGATGCAGTAGGTTATAAACAGAACTCATTCATCCATACCTGTGCTATTGAAGAAAATTCTCAAGAAAAAAAAAAAGAGGAGGAGGAAACGGTTCAAACAAAAAGAGGAGGAGGAGGAGGAAGAAATGGTTCTGTTTCATAAAGACAAGCTCAAATCTAGTAACGTTTTAGAAGACCAGCGCCACTGAGTTTGGCTTTGATGTCACGTTGTCAACCACACAGAAAAGCAACACTGAAACGACCTCGGTGTTTGTTGTGACACCGTCGTCAAGGACGCTGCTGCCATCTCGTGCACTGTCCCCTGTCGGGTCTCATCGCAGAAGTTTCCTTGTCCCTTCCTCCTTTTGGTTTTCTATCGCATCTATGTAAGCTGGCTTCTGGCCCTGACTACCAGTACCAGGAAGCCCACGGCAGATTTTTCACTCATTCGCAAAAGTCTGTGAAATTCCTACGATTATCGTGTTGCCTCGTGCTCCTTTCCAAAACCTTCACTTTTCTTTTTTTATATTTTATTAATCTTCTGTTATGTTCTAGGCATCCTCAAATACTATTTGGAAAGAGGTAAGATTTAAACAAACAAAAATGGTATATTAAACCTCTAGGGTTTTGTTTTTTTGTTGTTGTTGTTTTGTTTTTTTACTGAGAATCAGGTGCCAAACGCTATCATCACCTGGAGAGGAAGAGGGAGGGCACGTACTTCAGCTCTGATAGCGTCTCTCAGATTTCTCCGCCGAGCGGGTAAAGGAAGGGAAGAGAAGCAAAGCAAAGGAGAGAGACAGACATAATTGCCATGAATTGTGCCACTTGACTGGCTTTTCTCCATCCGGATTGCGGAAGGTACACTGGAATCCCCCGAGGAGCTTCATAAAAAAAGCTCTTCCGGGCTCTATTTGAAGAAATTCTAATCGACTTAGTTTGTGATGGATTATCACTCTTTCTTGAAAACTCCCCAGAGTGTTCTGACATGCGGCCAAGATCTAACTCAACCTCTGATCTCACTTAATTTGAAAACTTCCCCATGTTGTGGGAACGCTCTTTGCCTTGGCGATTTTGCCGGTCACTCCGACTGAAGGGGTTTGGGGAAATTGGATCATCATTTAAACTGTGCATTTACAATTTCTGGGATGGCACAGACCAAGGTGAGAACAGGCTTATAGACAGAGATAACACGGATTAAGTTCCAAGCCCGACCTTGTTTCTCCGTTTATAAAACAGGGATAAAAATACCTTCCCTGTGGGGACACTGTGAGGATTTATTATAATTACAACAATTACATTGTTATAATGGTTCTATTTTATTAGTAGCGATTGTTGTTAAACTCTTACAATGCCTAATTGATAAAGTGCAGTTTATCACAGTTGTGTCTGTATAAGAGAAAACATAGCACGTATGCGGTTTCAGGCATCCACGGGGGTTCTTGGAACATAAGAGGGAGCTACTGTACCACAAAACCAGTGGTGTGAACATACGTGTTTCTCATGATACCGTGCATTGAATGTACAGTTCTTATGCTTCACATGTTGCCAGTTGGGACACTGGAATGGCCAGAAGGGCCAAGATGCCGTCACTCACGTGGTTAGCAGTTGGTCCTACTGCTGACGCTGGCTGTCACCTAAGAGCTCAGCTAGGACTGTCACCCGGAGCTTGATTCTCCCCCATGTGCCTTTTCCGCACGGCTAGGTCGGGCTTCCTCCTAGGATGGTGTTCTCGGGACAGCCAAAGTTTTTATGTGGCATATGGCTTCCAAGAGCACGACAGAGGAAGCTACCTTGCCTTGTTACATCTTAGACCTGGAACTGAAACTGTCACAGTTGCATGTTCAGGTCTGCTGCATTCTACTGATTGAAATAAGTCAGTCCGAAGGCCAGCCTCGGATTTTAAAAAGCATGGGTGTGTGCACAAGTGTGCATGTGTGTATGGTCTGCGCTTCATTGGAAGCCGCCAAAGAATAGTTTACCGCAAAAGCAAAAAGCCTCACACATCTGTGCTGCCACATGCCTATTTACATAACTGCATAAATGCTATAGATATTTATATCACAGGTAAATTCTGTTCTTTATTCTCAAGAGATTATTAACCAGGGACTTAATGTCTTTGAAATAAACAGTAAAACTCCAAAACAAAAATGTAGCAATACACAAGAATTTCATAATGGTTAGACAGTTACATAACGTACCAAAATGTTTCTTTTACAAGGTAAAATTTACTAGATTGAGTAGAATATGAAATAAAGCAATGTTCTCAAGATGTTATTTATGTCTATGCTAATGATTTATAATCCACTCAGCATTGTACTTTACCTGAGCTACGATACACAAGTCATTTAGTAAAATGTCTGATACATAGTAAGTGTTCAATGAACTTCACCTTTTATTGTCTCCTTCCCTTAATAAACCAGAATATTAACTAGAGTGAGAAAAAGAAAAAAAACTGCATGAAGAGAATATGTTCAAATATGAATGAACACTTTATTAAATTATATTATATATTACATACATATGTAACATAAATTATGTATTATACATATGCACATATGTATGTAATATGTAACATTATGTACTACTACATACTTCAGGAAGAATAAACTGCAAAAAAGGAATTTGTTCTCTCCCAGCTCCT